CGGGACTCCAAACAACCTTCGGTACATCAAAATACATAAACTCATAATATAACTGTCATCGAAACCTTAAGCGTGCGGACCCTACGGTTCGAGAACGATGTAGACATGACTGAGACACATCTCTGGTCAATAACCAATAGCGGGACCTGGATGCCCATATTGGTTCCTACATATTCTACGAAGATCTTTATCGGTCAAATCGCATAACAACATACGTTGTTCCCTTTGTTATCGGTATGTTACTTGTCCGAGATTCGATCGTCGGTATCCAATACCTAGTTCAATCTCGTTGTCGACAAGTCTCTTTACTCGTTCTGTAATACTTCATCTTATAACTAACTCATTAGTTACATGCTTGCAAGGCTTAGGTGATGAGCATTGCCGAGAGGGCCCAGAGATACCTCTCCGACAATCGGAGTGACAAAACCTAATCTCGAATTATGCTAACTCAACATGTACCTTCGGAGACACCTGTAGTACTCCTTTATAATCACCCAGTTACGTTGTGACGTTTGGTAGTACCCAAAGTGTTCCTCCGGTAAACGGGAGTTACACAATTCTCATAGTTACAGGAACATGTATAAGTCATGAAGGAAGCAATAGCAGAATACTAAACGATCAAGTGCTAAGCTAACGGGATGGGTCATGTCAATCACCTCATTCTCCTAATGATGTGATCCCATTAATCAAATGACAACACATGTCAATGGTTAGGAAACATAACCATCTTTGATTAATGAGCTAGTCAAGTAGAGGCATACTAGTGACTATATGTTTGTCTATGTATTCACACATGTATCATGTTTCCGGTTAATACAATTCTAGCATGAATAATAAACATTTATCATGAAATGAGGAAATAAATAATAACTTTATTATTGCCTCTAGGGCATATTTCCTTCAGATACCACTATTGTCATATTATATCATGGTTGTTTTGACAATATGTTATCGTTTGAGATGCCTCATTATTGCTCGCTAGCTGATTATGTCATTGGTATGAGTCATTATAATATTTAAGAGTTATTGTCGACATGGTTAGTTATAATGTTGGCTGAAAACCTGGGTGCTGTTTAAGCTTATTTATGCAAACAAGAGCAAAATAGTTCGTAAAAGTTTTTCTTTTTCACTTTCAGTTTATCAACTGAATTGCTTGAGGACAAGTAAAGGTTTAAGCTTGGGGGGGTTGATATGTCTCCAACGTATCTACTTTTCCTAATGCTTTTCCTCTTGTTTTGGACCCTAATTTGCATGATTTGAATGAAACTAACTCCGGACAGACGTTGTTTTCAGCAGAACTATCATGGTGTTGTTTTTGTGCAGAAATAAAAGTTTTCGGAATGGAACGAAACTTTGTGAGGAATTTTTATATAATATATAAGAACTTCTGGAGCCAAGACCTACCGGAGAGGGGCCCCTGTGTGGGCATAGCCCACTAGGGCACGCCCCCCTCTCCTGGCGCGCCTAGTTGGGTTGTCCCCACCTGGTGGCCCCCGCAGACCCCGAAACCGACGCTATAAAATCCTATTTTTGGAGAAAAAAAATCAAGGAAAAAGAATTATCGCGATCCACTAGATGAAGCCATCGCCAAGCCTTGTTCTTCCTCGGGAGGGCAAATCTGGAGTCCGTTTGGGGTTCGGAGAGGGGTATCTTCGTTCTTCGTCATCACCAACCCTTCTCCATCGCCAATTCCATGATGCTCCCCACCGAGAGTGAGTAATTCCTTCGTAGGCTCGCTGGTCGGCGAGGAGTTGGATGAGATTCATCATGTAATCAAGTTAGTTTTGTTAGGACTTGATCCCTAGTATCCACTATGTTCTTAGATTGATGTTGCTATGAATTTGCCATGCTTAATGCTTGTCACTTTGGGCCTGGGTGCCATGATTTCAGATCTGAACCGTTTATGTTATCACCATTATATCCATGTTCTAGATTCGATCTTTCAAGTTATAGTCACCTACTACGTGTTATGATCCGACAACCCCAGAGTGACAATAATCGGGACTTCTCCCGGTGATGACCGTAGTTTGAGGAGTTCATGTATTCACTATGTGTTAATGCTTTGTTCCGGTTCTCTACTAAAAGGAGGCCTTACTATCCCTTAGTTTCCAATATGGACCCCGCTGCGACGGGAGGGTAGGACAAAAGATGTCATGCAAGTTCTTTTAATAAAGCACGTATGACTATTTACGGAATACATGCCTACATTATATCGATGAACTGGAGCTAGTGCCGTATCGCCCTAGGTTATAACTGTCACATGATGACTATCATCCAACAAGTCACCGATCCAATTCCTACGAATTTATCTTATATTGTTTCTGCTAAGTTAGTACTACTATCATCACTGTTACACTTGCTACAAAATTACTGCCATCACTGTTACTGTTACTATTGTGTTACTACTATCAAACTACTTTGCTACTGATCACTTTGCTGCAGATAATTAATCTCCAGGTGTGGTTGAATTGACAACTCAGCTGCTAATACCTTCAAATATTCTTTGGCTCCCCTTGTGTCAAATCTATAAATTTGGGTTGAATACTCTATCCTCGAAAACTGTTGCTATCCCCTATACTTGTGGGTTATCACTAGGTGAATGCTAACTTAAGTTTATACCACAATCTTGAACACATGGCTGCACTTTCATCTCCATTGTTTGTTGGTTGAATCTAGGTATCACATGGAATAAATCCAACAACCATTGAGCACTTGAAGCAACTGATTTGGAGAAAGAAGTTTGGAGAAAACAAGTTTCAAGTGAAGCTGATGTTGTTAGTTTTTACCTCTGATGTTTCATTGTGCCACACCCATGTGGTGGAGAGACGGGCCATAGTGGTACATCACCAGGAGCTACATCAAATTATCTTTCCAATGCAAAAAACCTCACATCATTTGGAGTTGTGAGTCAAAAGTTTTAGCTAATCTCGTGGAAGGTGTCCAAGCTGCCAAGGCTTCGTGAATTTCCGAGGAGCTCTCCAACAACTTCCAAAGTTGACTGCTTATTCAACCAAGAAAGCCATGCAAACTTGCTTACTTTTGAAACCATTTTCACACCTAGCTAAGGGGGGTTGTCCCTGCTATAAAACCCCATCTCCCCCATCCTCTAGAAGAACCTTTTGTCAAACCATTCAACTACAAGCTTATGCAGCAAGACTGCTAGAGAGATCCGAGAGATCTTGCTACCTTTCCTCTTGTGAGTTCATTTAGATTCGCTAGAAGGAGCCTCTAGTTCCCCTAGTTCGTGCTCTATGCTGTCAGCCATTTTGTGTGGGTTAGTCCCGGTTTGTGGTTCTGCAATTCTTCGGATAGCGGGTTGGAGTTCTTGTAGCTTCGGTCAGCCTTCCCCAACGTACGAGTTGCATCCAACCTTGGCAGGTATAGAGCTAGTTATCCCAGCTACTTGCAGCTAGTTATCCCAGCTACTTGCATCTAGTTATCCCTCCCGATTCGATCCTACGACGTGAAGATCAGGCCACCCTCGGGCGTGAACTCGTTCATCGGGTTCCCACCTATCACAAATGTAATAGGTAGTGGGAGAAAAAAGGATGGCATGACATAATTCACATATATGATGTATAACTAATAGGATGTCATGACATAATTCATGTTGGGAAACACCTTAGGGAGGATTATGACTGGCCATTTGTCCCTGAATCCTCCTTTAAGAAGGTATTTGCAACCAACGATGTTGGCTCTACAAGCTCGGGGTGGAAGGGCGGCCGATGCAGCGACATGGTGCTATGACCGACGATCCTAGATGTCGGAATAGGTGACCCCTGGTTCTAGAACCGACGATGTTGGATGCTACAAGCTAGGGGTGGAGACGCGGCCGGTGCGGCGATAGGGTGCTATGACCGATGATCCCAGATGCTGGAACCGGTGACGTTTGCTGCTACAAGCTCGGGTGAGGGCTGGATGGTGCGGCGACAATGACATGGTGCTGCGGTCGGCGACCCTAGATACTGGAACTAGTGACCCTCGATGTTGGAACCATCGATGTTGGTTGCTACAAGCTCGGGGTGGAGGGAAAGCCGGTGTGGTCACTATGGCAACATGGTGCTGTGGCCGGTGATCCCGGATGCTGGAACTAATGACCCCTGTTGTTGGAACCGGCGATGTTGATTACTACAAGCTCGGAGTAGAGTGTCGTTTGATATTGTAACTGACAAACCCTAGTGTTGGGACCGACAACGGTGGCTGCTACAGGCACGAGGCGAAGGGGGCGCCAGTGCTACGTCAACGACAAACGGGGTGTTGCAACCTACACCACCTGCGTAGCATGGCAGTCGGCTGCAAGGGTGACCGCAACGACCGAGGGGCGGCGAAACGGGGTACAGACGCATGAGCCTGCTATGCTGACGTCTAGCCTACCGTAGGCGGAAAAAGATTTTTCCTCATGCGTTGACTGTAGGAGAAGATGAAGCGCAGGGAGGAAACATAATCTAATGGTCGTATACTCATCCAATGGTGTTAGGCAGGTGATTGATCGAGAGTTCAGATCGACCGACCGGCTGCTAGCACTGGCCACCTCGTATGCAGGTCTGTAAATCGCGACACAACCATCCTAACTTTATATCTGGCCATCCCTCGCGCCGGGCCTAGCCAAGTCTAACAAAAAAACCCAGGCCTGGGCCCGGCCCAGCCCGGACATCGGGCCTAGAAAATCAGGCCCAAACCCGGCCTGACCGTGTAAAAGCCCGATGGGCCTCGGGCTAGGCCTCTTCGAGAAAATGCAAATACGGCGGGCCTGGGCCCAGCCCGGCCTTGCCTTCAGGCTTGAAATCTAGGCCCAGGCCTGGCCCGTGAGCAGCGTCGGGCCGGGCTTTTTCGGGCCGGGTCGGGTCGGGCTGTTCGGGCTGTGCTGCCCATGGCCAGGACTAATCCCAACCAGAGCTTCAGTCCCCCGAACCGCGACGACGACCACACGCCGGTGACGCCCGCCAAGCTCCCGAGTCGCCTCTCGCCTCACGCCCCCGCTCGCGCCCGCAGGCCGCAGCATGCTGCCCCTCGCGCACTCCACCCGCCATCCCCACCCCCGCCCTGCATCTCGAGCCCCACCTCCGAAGCGCTCTCCTGCCCGAGCCCGAACTCGACCTTGCCTTCCCCACCGGCGCCCGCAGTCCCATGCGCTCACCCTTACCCGAGCGCAGCCTCCGAGCGCGGAACCGGGCGAGAATACTGAAACCACCTCCGCCCCCGCCACCACCAGCGTCTTGTCGTTCTTGTGCCCGCTTCTCAAGTTCTTCGGGGTAACTAGCTGCTGCCTGCTGCAGTTGGTTTTCTTTATAAATAAAAAACTAACTGCTACAGTTTCTCCACTGAACTTGGATTTGTTTGCTAAAAATGTGTGGTTTTTGTGAACTGAAATGCAGGGCGGGGATCCTTCTCAAGAGCGGAATGACATCGTGGAGGTAAACTTCGTATAACTTTTTGGCACATTCAGACTGAATGGTACTGTATTCGCAAAATCCTACATCGACACTAGTAGAAGGGAAGAAAAATGACCAGCACAGGAACTCATTACATGAGAGCATCACAAGGAAAACAAAACAAAACAAAAAGCACTGAAAAATAGACGACTTGGATTATAACCTAGAGTTTACTGAAATGGTAGCAACAGGTGAAATTGTTACCATATGAATACCCTGTGGGAGCAAACTTCTATTCTAATACTGTAATTGGTGCAAAAGTTGTCCACCTGCCTCTCAGCGACCATCTGCTGTTAATTTATTGTTGAGTCAATTACACTTATGGTGTTAGAACTTGGCGCAAACGATCACTTTAGTGCTAGAACTTGTGGCGTACATCGAAGTGGTGCAAAAACTTGACTCGGGCGTGCAAATACGATGCTAATCGCGTTTATATACGACCGCAACGCTGACGAGGCATACCAGCGTGGCGCGGGGCCCGCTGTCATCGACCAAACAGTGAAGAAGAGGTCTGTGCGTGCTCTTTTTTCGAAAACCGCCTCGTTTTTTCGCAAAAGCACCTGACAAACGGGTCCCAGCCATCAGCAGAACACATTTTAATTGAGCAAAAAAACGATCTGCTCAGGCCTCAAACCTGTGACACCGGGCTAAATGAGTGTGCATGTAGCCACTGATCCGAATCTCGCCGGATGTCAGTTCAGGATACACACGGTTTATATCCAATAGTTAAACAACATAAATTAATGTTTGAATTCCAGAAAAGAGATGCAGTTGAGGTAAACAAGCAGGCTAAATAAAGGCATATCACTCTTTATATTTTTTTAGGGGTAGTCACTCTTTATGTCTACAATAGAATGTGCTCGTCGGCTAAAACGGACAGAACTTAGTGCGGCCCATTTTGAACATGTTTGGTTTTTTCTCATTTTGTGAAGTTTGTAAACAGATTTAAATTACAACTATACATAATATACATGTAATTGCAAATGTGTATTTATTGGAGGAATTGCAGTCTGATGGCACACTACGCTCACATTTTTTCCATGCATATATTTATTTTAAAGTGTATAATTATTTTTTAGAAAACACAAAAACTTTATTAAAAACACATGAATATTTTTTAAAAACAATAATATTTTTATGGCATGGAAACTTTTATATGCTATACTCATTCCAAGGGATGAATATTTTATTGAAAACATGAAAACGTTTGAACTTATACGAGAATTTATTTAAATGTAAACATATACAGAAATGGATTTAGAATTCTTAATTTATATGAAAACACTTTTTAAAATTGGTTGTTAAATTTTTTTATAGTTCTTAATATATTTTATGGATTTTTAGGAATTAAATAGTGCTGTCACTGACAGCAGGCCCCGCGCCACATGGCAAGCCTCGTCAGCGTCGCTGCCATATACAAACGTGATTAGCACCGTATTTGCATGCCCAAGCCAAGTTTTTGCACCATTTTGATGTACACCACAAGTTCTAGCACTAAAGTGACCGTTTACGTCAAGTTCTAGCACCACCGGTGTAATTGACTCTTTATTGTTTGCCAGGTGGCCACATCTTCCCTTTCAAGTTTAGCTAGACTGCCATGGGGATCAAGTGTTGCAGCTAGTAGTACAGAAAGAGTTGGTACACCAACGAGTGCTCCGACTCTTCAACTGTATGAGTTTGGTAATTGTTCTTTCTTTCTGTTGGTTCTGCCTCGTGGCATGTCAAACTAGTAATTTCAGAATGTACTGATCGCATCTTTTGTTACCTTTCCGATAGAAGCATGTCCCTTCTGTAGGAGAGTCAGGGAGGCCATGACTGAGCTTGATCTTTCTGCGGAGGTGTTCAACCATCTCTTTATAGTGCCTCTTCATTCGTTCCTACAACCGTATTGTGTGATTATAAATCAATGTTTAGGAAAATCACAGTTCTCCTTGATGGGAATTGAATTATAGTTGCGTGGCAATATATGTCAAGGATTAAATTGCTTTTCCTTTGGACTATTAACATGATATTGTAATTTGGTATTTTTGCTACTTGATAACTTTACCCCAAATACTAAAAAAGTGCAGGTTTATCCTTGCCCAAAAGGATCACTGAGGCATAGAGATGTGGTCAGGAAAATTGGAGGGAAGGAGCAGTATGTCTTCATCAATTCTGCATTTACTTATAGCTTCAGTTGAACAGAAATGCAGATTGGAAACTTCATAAAATCTGCATTCATGGTTAACATTTTTTACATTAATATGGACCATTTCTTCTCATGTTCCCGTTACGGCCATGGAAGTGAATTTTTGTTCCTACTTATACAGGTTTCCACTTCTTGTTGATGCAAGTACTGGTGTCACAATGTATGAAAGTGGTAAGATCCAATTGCTCGCTAGTCCTTCCTTTGGGTGGCGGTGACAGTGGGTAGTACCATGCAAGGTCTCTTTATTTGTTGGCATACAAAACAATAGTTTCCATTACTATGTTTAACTTGACTTCCTTCGCGTTTGTATAGTTAGATACTGATATGTGCCCTGAATGTGCAGGAGACATTGTGAAGTACCTGTTCAAACAGTATGGACAAGGAAAGAGCCCTTCTTTTGGCCTCCTTGAGAGGTATCCAACTTTGCTTGTTTGAATATCTTTTCCTTCACTTGTCGATTCCAGTCATCCTATGATATCATCAAGCTTTTTGCAGTACAATTTTCACAGGATGGGTGCCTACTCTTCTTCGAGCTGGAAGAGGGATGACAATGTGGAGCAAAGCCGGCGTGATACCTGCAGAGAAGCTGGAACTCTTCTCATTTGAGAACAACACTGTAGGAACCCTTCTCTCCTCGATGTACTTTTTGCAAGGAGTCAGCTATATTTTCTTCTGATATACGTGGGTGATTCAGTACGCAAGGATTGTCCGTGAGGCTCTGTGTGAATTGGAGCTCCCTTACGTTCTCCAGAACGTGGGAGAGGGGTCGTCGAAGATGAGTTCGCTGCTGAGCTTAGCAGGTTCTAAGCAGGTAAATTGAGAGCGATGCTGAAGTGCAATGGTATAAAAGAATTTGCCAGCATCGAAAGAGGCTGATTTGCAAAAGTAATGCTACTATGTGATAACGCGCTTGATATCCGTTTGTGTTTCAGGTCCCGTATCTGATGGATCCAAACACCGGGTTCCGGTCGGGCGATCACAAGACGATACTGTCCTACTTGTTTCAGCAGTACTCTTTGGGCGGCTAGCTTGTCCCTCAAATCTCGGCAAATATGCAGACACCTGTCAGATAGGCTGTTTTTTTCCGGTAGAAAGAGAGCAAGCGTGTATATTTGCCGTGATACGGAGCTTGGCTCTGAAGTATCAGTGGGTTTTAGAATTCTCAACATACAGTATATGGTAATGGTATGGGAAGATCTCGGTGCGTGGCATTGGCATGGCTCTCACGATATCAGAAAAACAGAAAGAAAAAAAAACGGTATGCACGGCGGTTGCGCACGCACGCATAGTGAGCTAAAGCGGAGCAGCCTTTGGTTGCGCAACCGAACAAGACTCGCGGCACATGAGAGAGATGGCACTGCACTGCAGCGGTTCAACGGCGATGTATCATGCCATTGCCATTGTCCGCATCTTTCGGTTGTCTTCTTTACATGACGCTACAAGAAAAGGAAAAAAAAAGAATCAATATTGATTGTACTAGGTCTGAGTACCAACAAAGGCACGCGACGCGCCCGTGATGGATGCTTTGTCATCATGAATCTTAAAGAAATGGGGGAGTCAACTGAATCAGGGTCATGTGCAGGGAGGGAGCAGTTCCACGTCATGATCCTGCCTGCGTGCGTGCGTGGGGATCGATGATGGAAAAACAAATAACAAGTGCGCCGGGAGATCAGTTTGCCCTAGTGCACTCAGAGTCATAACCTTTTTCTACCCTTGAGAAGCCTCTTCTCCACCTCTAGCCCACAGGCCAAATCTCTCCGTCTCCGACTTCCTGCTCCGTTCTTGGTCATCTTCCTTTCGGGAGGAGGAGGGAGGAAGCATCATGGGCAACGAGTTGTGAGTTCCTCCCGTTCTGTTTCCGTGTATGTACATCTCCCGTTAGTTGCGTGGCTGTTCTGCTCTGGTGAACTGAGAAATGCCGCTCTTGTCCTGGGTGCAGCGACTACCTGTTCAAGCTCCTCTTGATCGGCGACTCCTCGGTCGGCAAGTCCTGCTTCCTCCTCCGTTTCTCCGTGAGTTTCTTACTACTACTACTACTCCTTGCAATGCGGGTGGATGGACTGACCAATGGCGCCATCTTCCTTCTCAACATCACACATAAAAACATGGTCCTGATTTTTCTTCTTCATCCAGGACGATTCGTATGTGGACAGCTACATTAGCACCATCGGCGTTGACTTTGTGAGTGGCTTCTCCTCGCAGTGCAGCTGTGTTCTTGGAGCATGATTCTCTCGCTGGTTATTTCTCATCCTATGTTTGGTTCTTCTCTGATCCATTGATTGACGCACGTGTGCAGAAAATCCGCACTCTCGAGATGGATGGGAAGACCATCAAATTGCAGATTGTAAGTGATTAATCCCTATTCTTCTTCACAAGTTTGCATCTCCTTCAAAGTTTGCTACTTATCACGTAAGGGATATGTTGTCACTTGCAACCATCAACTTTTTGTGTTTTGGAAATGAACTGATTCCCCATCAAACTCCTGCATCACAAACATACAAACTGCATTCTACTGCCGACGGAAACAATTGCGCAAAGCAGAAACCGTAATGCTCACAATCTCATCTCATATCAGTATCTCTTGCATTTACAACAGTGGGACACAGCAGGACAGGAGCGGTTCAGAACCATCACAAGCAGCTACTACCGAGGAGCTCACGGGATCATCGTAAGTCTCATCTCCCCAACCGTAAACAACAACAAAAACTGCAACTTTTACCCACCACAGTTCAGCAAACTTTTGGTTTCGTTGTATCCAGATTGTCTATGACATCACGGACATGGAGAGCTTCAACAATGTCAAGCAATGGCTGAGCGAGATCGACAAGTACGCCAACGACAGCGTGCGCAAGCTACTTGTCGGTAACAAGTGTGATCTGGCTGAGAGCAGGGTCGTCGATACTGCGGTGGCACAGGTCACAGTTCCAACTACCCTTTTGCATTCGAGATACTGATTCATCATAAACTAGGCTCTGTCTGTATACTTGTGGCACGGGGATTCGTCGTGTTCCTGTGGAAAATGAATCAATTCCTCGTCTGTCGATGCTGAACTTGTTTTGTTGCATATTTTCTTAAGCTAAATGGGCAATGCAAATCAGTGCAGGCCTATGCTGATGAGATGGGTATTCCTTTCCTAGAAACAAGTGCTAAAGAGTCCATCAATGTGGAAGAGGCCTTTTTGGCAATGTCTGCAGCAATCAAGAAGAGGTAGAAGAGCAAATGAGCTTTCGCATTATTATGTTCAGTTTTTGTTTTTGTTTTTGGAATGCTTATGCTGATTAAACTTGTGTGTCTGATCCACAGCAAAGCTGGAGGCCTTGAGAGGAAGGCATCCAATCTGGTCCAGATGAAAGGCCAGCCAATTCAGCAGCAGCAGCACAAGCAGAAGAGCAGCTGCTGTTCAACATGACTCGAGATCGGACTCGAGGGAGGGTAAAGCATCCCAGCGGCGCAGCTACCTTCCAGGAATCAGGATGAAAATGGCATCTGCCAAATGTGAACCTCTTTCTTCCTTGCCTTTTGGAACACTTTTTTAGCTAGCTGCAAACTGTATCAGTAAGTGAATTCGCATGTTCGTATCGATCTTTCAGTGGAGCAACATATGTCGAAATCATGTCAGGAAATTCTGTAATTTCGATGGTTCTCTAATCAGCACAGCAACCAGAGTTATAACATATCAGCCATATTGCAATCTGCTAACTGAACAATCTGAAAGACAGTGAATTTACATATGCAAAAGCTTGTACAGATACAGATACAGATACAGATGCAGGTTTTGTTTGTACTTTTTTACATCATGAAGTGGCAGACACATCACACAAGGCTATGAGACGTCCTTGCAAGGTCGCCTTGTCGAACTCAAATCAGAACTAGGAGATAACTTGGATAGGTCGGTCATTCAGGCTACACGAGTACTCCTCTCCATGGTTAGCTGGAGGGGAAACTGCAGTAACATCATGCAATCTGCGAACAGTCCAATCTGAAAGAGGACGAATCTACATATGAAAAAGCATGTACATCGACAGATGCTGATCTTCTTTCTCCTTTTTACAACATGAAGTGGCACACATAAGGTTATGTGAGTTCCATAAAGGGTAGCCTTGTTGAACTCAAACCCGAACTGGCGAGATAGCTTGATAGGTTGGTTGTTTAGGCTAGAAGTAGTATCCACCCTCCATGGTTCGCTGGAAGGGAAATTGTGGCATCATCATGTTGCTGCCGGTGTCCAGAATCCCGCTCTGCTCAATTATCTGCAGAAACAAGATCAAGACATTAAAAATAATGTTGGTCTGTTTAAAAATGTTGTTATGTTAGGTCCCTCTTGCTGCAGCAGGGCTGCACTAATTAGAATACCAGCGTAGAGGGATGCAAAGTGCTGAACCACTTGCATCCCTGAAGCATATGCAAAACTACCTTTTGCCAACAAATATTTAGGTCCATAGTTATAAAATATAAAAGACCCCCTCCATCCCAAAAAGCTTGTCTTAGATTTGTCTAGATACGGATATATCTAGATACATCCGTATCTAGACAAATCTAAGACAAGCTTTTTGGGACGGAGGTAATACTATTCATATAGTCGATTTCCCCGCTTTTTTTTACCGTGCTCTGGTTGATTCTAAACGCTTAAACTGATCTGAACGCTATCCTAAAATCAAAAGGTAACATCTCAAATAGTGCAGTTTCTTTTAAATGAATCTGGGTTAGAGTATAGTACCCTTTCTTGAAGTATGTCGTTTGCAGCCTTCAGTATACCTTCCTGCAAAACAGAGGCACAAAAAGACACCGGTGAAGGGAATTGCTGTGCTCATCTTTCTACAAGCAAGTTTAAAAAATCTCATTCAAGGAATAAAATTTCGTGCGGAGCCAACCTTGGTCTTGAGCATCTCAATCTCCCTAGATATGATCTGCATCTGCTCAGCAGAAAGGGGCAGTATATTAAAAATAATCATTTCTGAAAAGATTTTAGTTTGTGCAGAGAAGGAGATATAGCTTACTTTTGTATAGCGGATATTGTGTACCCAAATTTCAAGGTTACTCTCCAGGGCTTGCAGCTCATTGAGATTCATGTGGTTTATATCATTCTCTCCATACATGTACCTGCATGGATGTGCTTACTTCTGTCAATCAGTCTTGTGCCCAATACTATACTTCTGTCTTGCACCTCCATAGTATTTGAAATCTTTCTAATGGAATCTTGCCAGTTTAATATGGACCATCAGCCTGTATTACTAAACCACGTGCTACTGCTTCTCATTTTATTATATTTTATAACACCTCTTAAAAAACTAAATTTGATGCCAATAGTAAACGGTTGGTGCATCACGAAAGATGATTGTCCTTTTTAATGGACTCTTCCGAATCAGCATAGCACAAAGGGTAGGTATGTCGTCATTCAATCACAAGTTAACGAAGTTATGCCAGTTGCTCAGACAGAAGACATGAAATTGCTTCACCGTTTACATATAAATATAACACAGCTGATTACCTTAAGCCCTTTTGAAGCAAGTCAATTTCTTGCCTTAAGAGTAGTACCTCTTGCTGTATTACCTGCAATGAGAGAAGAATGCCAGCACCTCAATAGAACTAGATGTAGAAGTAACTTTACATATTAGTAATTATGTCGAAGATAATGTAACTCAAGATTCATGCGCGCTGATGAACAAATCATGGGCAGTGCGCCAAACCAAAGGTCTCTTACTAAATGACCATGCAGTATTTAATACAAATAATGTATTTCGAATGCATAGCTTTGCAGTGCTATTTGTCAATTGTCATTATGAGATAAACCATGTGATTTCTTCTCCTGACCTCGGGTTTGTTCTGCTCGCTACTTTCACCATGTGCTTCTGTGTTGCTACCCTTGTACCTCTCAATTAAGCCTTGCATGTTCCTAATACATCTCAGACATAAAACATATGAACAAATTAAAACATATATATTTTCTGGAGTTGGCTTTAAATCACTTAACAGGAGAGGGATGCATACCCGTTGGTAGCTAGCTCATAAACCTTTCCATGAGGAGAAAACACCATGACACCGATATCAGCATCACATAAAACGGACAACTCCTTTGCCTTCTTCAGAAGGCCCATTCGCCGCTTGCAGAAGGTGACCTGCCTGTGCACTGGGTTTTCTATCCTTCTCATCTGAACCTTACCACGAGCCATTACTATTCTTCAGTCTACCTTCTGGTTTGTGCACACAACCTCCCACTAGTTTGGACTAGCTTCTGAGGTTGTTGCAACTGGACTCTGGATCCTCCTCTCGCACTTGAGGCAAATGGTGATTTAGACCTGTCATGGATGTGAGCATTTTATTGTGGCTCCTGAGGACAAGGAATAATTGGTAGGCCAGTCCTTGCAGGTTGTGGAAGAGTCAAACAACACATCACTGTTGCAATTCACAAAGTAGACTAAATAGCTACCTTGTACAAGGGCATATGTTACAGCTTGTTCAAAGTGTATTGAATTCCTTGTAATATATAAAATCCATGTTGCTTGTACTGCCCCATGCTAGATAATCAAGTGGCCCATGATTACAATGAATATTTAGTGAGGAATATGTCTGATGTAAAGGCATTTACACTTTACACTGTTAAGGCTTTGTTCTAGTTTGAAAGGTCAGAATAACATTTTAAACTCTAGTATTCTACAATTTCCTTTCTTGTACGCTCATATTCAATTTGCCGCCATCTGACTAAAGAATGATAAAAATAGGAATGACACACGATATATTCTACAATCCTCTGAAGAGTTTTAAAAGAAATGCGTACCGTACAATTCGAAGTGTGAAGCCAACACTACATGTTACTGTTAAGTGTCATGCAACCTATTTTGTTTTGTTCACTTGGTTTTCATGACTCTGTCTTTTATAGAATTCCAACACCAACCAAAAGAGTCTGGTATACTCCATCCTATCTGCAAGTTTACTTGGAACAATTGAAAATAATGTCCAATAAAAAGAAGTACCTGCTGATAATCTAATCACAGTTAGCTGGTTCTTGTACCATTATGTTCAGTTGAGAAGAGGTTGCTTAGTGCACTTAGTAGATCCAAACATGACATGTCTGCCACTCCAGAAGTAGCAAAACGAGAAGAATAAAGCAAGAAACTTGCAGTAGGAACAAATAACATATTTATACATGCACAACTGGAGCGAAATCTTAATTGACCAAAGTTATGATGGCTAGCTCATATGAAATCATGATGGCAGTTCACCAGGACCACCCCTTTCATGAACACTTTAAAATGGCTTTAGATCCAGATTCCAGACCAGTTGTCCTCAAGTATTGTCAAAGTCAAGGTGGTCAGTCACATTACAGAGGCACAGCAGTGCAGTATATTTCTATCTCTATCATTCATCAAATCTCGGGAAGTCCAATGAAATCAAGAACTTTAGTTAAGAACCTAAAACTGCATTTTTGAGCATTTCAAAATATGAGCATCCACGGAGGTGAGAGTCGAATGTGGGTGGGCTCGGTGTGACGCCATTAGCCAACTGAACCCGAATCGGTTCTCCAAAATGAAGTATCTTCCTTTATCATCAACTTCTGTGTTGATTGGATCTATTACTTTTTGTTTTTATTTGATATTGTGAATGTTAAGTATCAGGATTCCCTGGCCAAAATAGGTACATCTTATGAAAACATGTTTTGCTTAGCAAGGAAGGTGCCCCTTTGAGTACTGTTAAGACAAGTTGTAACAGTACGAGACACAGCATTTTCAGAAATAGATAGGTTTCATGCATCACTTACATATGAGGGATGAAGAAACAGCGGTGAACCAAGTACATGAATCCTACACGTTATGATTTTTTTTACGACATGGAATTTCATAGAATACTCAAATCAATAAGCAGATAATATACAAGGTAGAAGGGTGACTCTGCCATTATCCAAACTAATTCATTAGGTAATGCCATAGATATAGACCAGATATAATTAAAATGTAACAACATATAAAAATTAAAAGAAGCATAGAGAATAATTACTCCCCGACAAAGGAACAAATGCAAAGCTGATGATTTTTTGTTTGTCGCTTTTTTCGAGTCTAGCAAATGTTCTTTAGGTTATACCATCCACTGAAGAGGCACAAACTGATGTGGCTATGTTGATAGATATCAGGTAGGAAAGAGTGTCAACTAGCCGCTTCCTTTCAATTGAAGTGTTTGAAAAAGAAAGGTGCCACCAGGCTCATCACATGATGGAACAATAGTTAAATTTCAACATAAGTCTAGTGATGTTCCTTTGTTGTATCTTGCCGGAATACTGTAACTTTGCACAATATCGAGCTTCACAAGTTCATATTCTATTACTTCTCAATGCAAATGTATTTTTTAGGCATGCCTGCTCACTTGTACCATGATTGCTACATATTTAGATTTAAAAAAAGTGAACAGTTGCTAAGTTTTCAGCTCTCTGTCACAGAAAGTTCATTCTGGAACTCCTATCACTAGTTTGATAGGATTTTCAAATATTGCAGTTGCCTCCCTATATCAGTTGAGAAAACAATTTGATTTAGCAAAAACTAGCAGAATCTTCAAGCTAGATATTTTTTTAATCTTTCAAATAATAACATTACTTGCATTCTTTACTTTGTGAGAGAGAAGAGAAGTCTTGGTTGCCTGATCTTAAGAAATTTCTTTACATGAAAGAAAACCGTAAAAGGCATAGCCGAAATTCGTGCTTATCTAGCAATCTCTTTGAAAACTATTCCAGCCGTGAGGCACCTAATATTAGTCTTCACTAACAAAACCATAAATTTGCACTAAACAACAGGCCTCTGAAGAGAATAACTAAGATTTGTTCACGAATAAACAAACAACCAATAAGATTGTGTGCTGTAGTGCATCTGAACCTCACTTTTGATACAGAAGGGTATTGAAAGCTCTTCCTTGAACATGATACATCATCCACAAAATGAATGTGACAGCTATAATTCTATTAAAACTACATTAAAAAATCAACACAGGCGATAAAGTTCCAAAGGAAGATTTCTAACATGTCTGTGATGCCAAAGGAACCACAAGTATTGGCCATCACATAGCTTTCATTTTTATATACGTACTAATAATGCTGCTTTCACTATTCTGTAGGTGGCGATATCAACAATTAAAGCTCAGAATAAGATTCCCTAATCTGTGAGCCTGATATTTACTTGAGACAATGTCAGGTAATATCAGGGATAATCATTCCAAAACATTATTGCACAAGTACTTTTATGATAAGCTTGAGAGTGTAGTAGATCCTCTTCTCTTTTTTCACTTAAAGAATTTGAAGGAGACCAAGGTTCAACTTTGTCAGATTAGAACAGAAACTGAAGATCTACATTTAACTGAACAGTGAAATTTACATCTAACCACTTAAAGGGTTTAAATCATGAAAATCTTGCTAAGTTCTAAATTAAACAACAACTGAAGTTTTCTGTTGCACCAATTTAGCTATTGAATGTATTGGGCTAGGTGCAAAAAATCATAGTTCTGCTGATTTTTTTTTTTGCAAGCAACTGGCAGGATGCTGCCTTTTCATTAAGAGAGAAGAGAAACCAAAGTATTTACAAGAGATGGCGGGTTTATAATGGGAACATGCCAAAACCAAAGTTCTAATGATTATGCTGGATTCACAAGGTAACCTAATAGCATTTTTTTCCAGTTTCCTGCATAATCAGGAATTTCTGTTGCACCAATTTAAGTATTGAGTGTGTGGGATTGGCAAGAAATCAGACTTCTTAATTTGCTTTCCAGCTTGCACTTCTTAAATTGCAATGATGATTACATATTTTATCCATACCGTGCCGATACACATGAGCATTGAAATCAATGACCTTATTCCTTTAACATAGTACTGATACATGAGGTAGATGATCTGATGGGGTGGGGATTCATTCCTGAAAGGCCCATCTAGACATCGGACGGCAGAAATGGGTAATCAGTGTATCCAATAACTGGATCAGAGAGGTAGAAAGTATCTCTTATGTACTTGTTGAGAGGAGCACCTATTTCAAACCTCCGAGGCAAGTCAGGATTGGATAAAAACAAGCGCCCATATGCTACCAAATCAGCATAGTCATCGGCGATTGCTTTATTTCCATCATCCCTGTCGTATCCCCCAGCTACAATAAATGTTCCTTTAAAAGCATCCCTTATGGGGCGAAGACTATGGGGAGTTTCAAACTTCTCACCAATATTCACCATCCGTGGTTCCACCATGTGACAATAGAGAATTCCAAATTTGTTTAGTGCATGTGCCATGTATAGGCCTAGAGCTTCTGGGTTTGAGTCGGATGCCTCTGAATAGTTTGCAAACGGAGAGAGCCTTATCCCAACCTTATCAGCTCCAACTTCATCAACTACAGCTTGAACTACTTCCAATGCAAAGCGGCAGCGATTCTCTAAGCTCCCACCATATTTGTCAGTGCGATCATTGACTTGGTCCTTTAAGAACTGATCAATCAAATAACCATGAGCTCCATGGATTTCAACACCATCAAATCCTACACACCATACAAGGCATTGAGGTTAGTGATCCCTCTTCTTCAACAGTCAGGGCGATGTCGAAGAATTCAGTAGGTATCTGTTAGGCACTAGGCAGAACATTAACGAGAACAAAGTGTATGCTAATTTTCTCCTGATACTAATTTGGTTGAATGAGAAGTCTGAACTTTGTATGATATATAATTTCAGCATAACATTTGGAGCACAAATGTGAGAGATAAAGATTACTAAAGGGGGTTCATTACCAACCAAAAGGTACTTACCGGCTTCAATTGCATTTCTAGCAGCAGCCCTAAAATCGTTGATTACCAAAGGAATCTCATTAGTCTGTAGCCGCCTAGGAGTTGAAATTGTAGGCACATCTATGCCATTGGCTCTAACTACAGGTTTGAGTGGCTTATCAGTGCTCGAAATTGGAGCCTGCCCGTTAGGCTGAAAAGCTGCATAGAGATAACGAACATGTGTAAGTGAAATACAAGCAGGGCTACAAGGATGACTATGGGGTTGCTAATGTATTTTTATTAACAAAAAAACATGAGGCAACTCATGGTGTCATAAAATGGTGAATAATCGTACAGAATGTTCATAAAAAAATTGAACCAAAAATCTAAAATCCATTTGAGATATTATTGCTTGCGATATAATTGTGCTTACATTTGGTTTGATGACAATTCAG